TTACGAGCTCAGATAAAAAAGTTGTAAAAACGACCTTCGCTATTTTCTTCGCGATTCCGACTAATTGCAGTTTTTTCAAAAATTTATACAAACGTCAGAATGACGGCAAAAAGCCATTTCTCTAAGCCTTATAAAAATAGCGGTGCAAAATCAAATTTTTTTGACAGCGATCGATAACCGAGAAGTCACGCGTACGCGTCGTTCACGATAGCGCGCGGGTGAATCTCTGTTCGCCCGTCCCTGAGCGCGGGCTCTACGGCCGCTGTGATTGGCCAGTGTTTTCCGTTAATAACTCGAAAACGAAACTTCAACCAACATTTTGGTAAAGGAAAAAGTTGTTCAGAGTCACCCCAGCAACCCCTCATTTCCGGGTGTTTGAGAAGTTACGGGACATCCTGTATAGAGAATGACGAGTTGAATCGATTAATATTTCTTCTACGCGTCCACCTAAGAAAAAACTAATTACATTAAATTATGTCCCCCATTATACCGAAACATTTGTCGGTATAATCGGATAGTTTCGAAGATATTTTAGGTTCTAGTCTTAGGTGACTCACCCCGATTAGGGCATAATTAAATGATAATTTATATAGGAAAAGAATTTTTCAACGTAGTCGCATATTAATAATAATGTATAAATTAGTAACTGGAATATATAGAGCATAATTAAATGAAAATTACATTCAACACCCCTGATCGACATTGAAGAATGCGTGGATATGAACACATAAGAAAATTACACGGTATACTTTGATAATGGACGCGTTTGAACCATCTATCGTGGAAAAATATTCGTCAACTGTATCATTGTAGTGTTCAAGTGTTCAGCCCCTTTGGTAAAACTTTCAATTTTCTGACGTGGTGGAGTTAACTATGTATCACGCGGAATAGGAAATGCGATGAAGTTTCTTGGAAAGGAATGAAAAATACGTGGAAACTTGGAATGAAGTGTTATCAGTTCTGAAGCTACCAATTGTTAACTTCAAAGTGGTAATAAAACATACTGGAAACTCTTCAAAGTCACAAAATCATAATAGAAAAAGAAATTCGAAGTGTAATGATATTCTACGTGCATTTTAATTCTACGTTATTGGATTAGAATTGTAATTATTACTAATTTAATGAGTCTGCGCTCTACTCATCGAGAATTATGTACGCTTCATTTTTTCTCTCCTTCAAGTAACATTTAACCTTTTTCAATAGAATCTAATGAATAGATTTTCTAATCGAATGAAGCAATACATTAAAGATTACGCGTTGAACTTTCTCGATTACACTTGCATCACATTAGGCTGCACGCATCGAGAGGCCGGATACATCTGGAATCGAAGGAGAAAGTGCGAAGAAAGTCGACGAGGCGACCGTTTTAGAAACGATCTGAGAAACAGGGAAACGGAAGCGTGATAGAATTACAGCTAACGAAAAAATAGAAGTCATTTTAAACGACTTGTTTACGTCATGCAAATGACGTGCAACTTCTTACTATAAATTATTCATGCCTTCGAATACTGTAACACTGCCTTGGTTTTAATATATCATTAAAATCCGAATAAACTTTTGATTTTCAAATTTTCTCCCGTTACACTCGCTAATTCAGTTTTTCTATCATTCTAAAATTAGTGCAACTTGAATGCTAATTTTACATTATTCCAATATTATTCGGTTTATACACTACTTTATTAAAATACAGGGTGCGTTAGAAAATATGTTGACACTTATACGAAGAATTTCTTTTCTTTTTATCTTTCTTTAACTAAATAATATCATATACTATAATGGGTTTATACCCATAAATAAAGAAATAAATTAATAATATGCCTCAGGATTCTGGAGACCATCTGGAGATCATTCCAAGAATGTGTTGACAATAATGGCGAACAAGTGGAGATTCATTGAAAAGAAAATAAATCTCTTAACATGAAATGATTCTATATAAGTTTTAGCACTTTTTTCGAAATATGAATTCTCTACTGACACTAACGTTTCAAAAATTCTAAATAAAATACTGCTTCAAGGTTTCAAGATTGCAATATCGTGGCGAATCTTTACCAATTTTAATTTCAATTGAAAATTCAAATGTCTTCTATTTCTAATTGCAAAATGAGAATTTTATACTATAAATA